GAGACACGCAACCGTAATACGGTTCTCCTCGCTTTTCTCCAGCTATTACGGACTTTAACATGCAATGTGACCTTGGTCAGCAAAGCATGTTTGGTTAGCCCAAAAAACTTAATCATAAGAAGTCATAAGTAGAATCCTTCTTCTTTACTGCCCCTTTTTCGGGGACTCGGAAATTTATGGCTCGCGGGACAGGTCGGATATGAACAATGGGCCAAATGGAGTGCAAGGTTATCTCATCTGTGCGAGAACGGCAGCTCTGAATCGATGTGACCTCTGCCAGGCTGTCATCCTGGTCCCCACCCTCTGTGTCCTATTTGTCTTTTGGTCGGGAGCTTAGATCTGGATGCTGTCTCTCTGCGCCTCTCTTGGGCCAGATTATCAAAATGAATCATTGCCTGCATAGCTCTTAGATTTCTATTTATTTTCCTGCTGTTGACTAGCTGGGATGAAATATGATTTCTCTTTGCATTTGATCCTCACTGCAGCCAGCCGCACCTAATTTAGCCGTGTCTATCTCTTTAAAGAAGACTAATGCTATTTTGAAACTTCAATCTGCACTACAGCAACATTACAAACCATAGACCGTGCGTGTCCTGTCTCCTCAGTCAATATGAATTTTCCTTTTGGCCATTTTAATAGCATTACTTCCCTCGCCTCCAGACCCCCACACGTGGGGTTCCCAGATTGTTTTAAGCAGTTTATCCACAATTCATCCGTCGCTCTCCCTCCCTCCCACCCGCCTTCTCTTTCTCTCTCATCCTTGAAGATCTTTTTGGCTTACCTTCCATCACTGAATTTGGCACAGGAAAATTAGTTTGAAGAACCTGGTCCTTAATATGAAATACTTAAACAAGGGAAATTGTACAGTCTTTGAAGGGGGAGGGTGTTCTTCCTTATGTGTAACCAGAGGATTGTTTCCGAAAGGTTGGTGATACCTTCTGAAAGGATGAAATGGCAAGAACCTCATTAATAATTCTTGAGTAATCTTTTGTAGTTAAAGCATTCCAAACTCAATGCAAAACACACCCTGAGCGGAGATGTCTGTAATACAGAAAACACATGGTGTTTCGGGGGGAGGGGGGTAGTTGTGTAGTAAATGAATACAGAAACAAACCAGCTGTTTCTTGTAAGATGTCTTTGGGGCCTTCCGTCTTCTAAACAAGTCTTCCCCAATCTGCACACTCCAGATGTTTTGGGCTGTCTCAACAAGCACTCCGTGAAGCAGGAGGTGGCTGGTCTACCTCCCATTTAAGCATGGATGTGGCAAATACTTGCTAAGTCCCTCATTCTCATTGATCGAGGCCATCTTGACAAGACAAGACACTTCAAGGAGGGATTTTCAACTATTGCAAGATTTCTCACCTTGAAGGTGGGAACAAGACAAAGGGCCCCTTTTTCTCCCCGTCAGGGTTTCTGCAGTTTAACAAAAAGATGACTGCACAAAACTGGGGTCCCTTCTCTTTGTGAAGAAAAGTGTGTGATTCTTCAGGAAGGTGCAAATTGCCCTTCAAATGCCTCTAATTCAGAAGTCTGTAAAATGAAGCTGTAGCCATTTTGGTTTGCTGCCATCTGTGTCAAAACTGTTCGTGACAATGAATTCCCATCCCAAAAAAAAAAAAAGGAAAGAAAATCTTTCCATCTGATTTTATTGATTTTATTTGATTTTATTTGATTTGATATGACCACTCCAGGCGGCTAAAGTGGTCGTATAGACCAGATGGTCGTATAGACGAGACCATCTTACTGGCAAGGAGACAGTTTGTCGTTCCTTATCTTTGATTGCAAGGGTAAGACAAGTGGGGATTTACATCCCTACACTTGAGGTATCCCCACAATGCCCAACGTGCAACTGTGAGGATAGTGGTAAATTTACATAGTTGTTAGATTCACAAGTGTTGCTACTGCTTCAGCCTTTGTATAGGAGCACGAAGAACTGGACACACAGGGTCCAACAGACAGGGGCTTAAATCCTGTTCCTCAGGAGAGCAAGTTGCAACTAGATTTAGCATGTTAGAATAAATGGAAATTAATGGAGGGGGAGCCTCGTGGCACAGTGATTAAACTGCAATACTGCAGTGAAGACTCTGCTCATCACCTGAGTTTAATCCTGGGCTCAGGGCTTGACGTTGACTCAACCTTCCATCCTTCCGAGGTCAATACATTGAGTACCCATCTCACTGGGAATGAGCGTTTTGTAGCCTGCATAATTAAATTGCAAAACGACCAGAGAGAACTTTAAGCGCTGTGGGCCAATATATAAGCAGCACGCTATGTTTTGTTTCCATTACAATTCACCAAATATCCACAATGGCCCTGCTGTAGTACAATTTACCAGCTAAGCAACAGGACTTCAGCTAGTGCATTAATTGCTCATGATTGAGACAAATAAGGGAAATCCACTCTTTGGTAACTTTCCTAACGCTGTACTAACAGGCAGAAAGAGTGGATTTCCCTTATTCACTGTGGGCCAATATATAAGCAGCACACTATGTTTTGTTTCCACTACAATTCACCAAATGCCCACAAATTCAATGGCCCTGCTGTAGTACAACTTACCAGCTAAGCAACAGGACTTCAGCCAGTGACTTAATTGCTCATGATTGAGACAAATAAGGGAAATCCACTCTTTCTGCCTTGTTAGTACAGCGTTAGGAAAGTTACCAAAGAGTGGATTTCCCTTATTTGTCTCAGTCACGAGCAATTAATTCACTGGCCATTTATTTATTTACATTTTTACCACACCTATCTAGTGGCTAGGCCACTACTCTGCGAGCAATTAATTCACTGGCTATTTATTTATTTACATTTTTACCACACCCATCTAGTGGCTAGGCCGCTACTCTGCGCGGCTTGCAATATTACAACATAAACGTAAAATAAACTGCAATGATCATCAAGTTACAATGTCAAACAATAAAGCCAAATCTCAACGTATTACTTGTATGTAAAAAAAAATAGCACAAAAGATAGCACAGAACAGAGACAATTGTGCCAAAAATAATGGGATATCAGTCATCAAAACCTACGTTAATCTGGGGTAAGGCTGTAGGACTGTGGGAATAGCTGCATCTTCCCTTGTTCTCTGAAGCCAAAGAGGGAAAGGATCTGTCACACCTTGTCCAAGAGCAAATTCCACAATGAGGTGGCCATTACAGAGAGGGCCCAGTTTTGAGTTATTGATTTCTGGGTCTCTCTCAGGGTGGCCAGCCCATTTTGTGCGGTGTGGGTGGGATGGGAGAGTGTTTTGAAGGAGAGAGATAGGTAGCAATGTCCTAAACCTTTTAGGGCTTTGACTGTCAACATAAGCACCTTGAACTTGCCCAAGAAGCCTACCAGAAGCCAGTTCAAATGCGACGAGATGGGGTCATATTTTGATATTCCTGACACCAGCCTGGCTTCTTCATTTCAGAGCTTGTTTTTTTTTTAAATTTCATCTCCGGCAGTCCCGCAACTAGTGTGGCCAGACTAATTGGGAGAAGCATTGGTTAGCCAGTGGTCATGCTGGCTGGGCATTTGGGCAGTTCATGTTGAGGAAGTAATGTTGTATAGCTCTCTGTAGACCGAACCCAAACATAGAGGCACTGATAGTTATTGACTGGGCTGCGCTCCATAAATGTTCCAAATCCAGGGATGGTGCAAGACATTTTTCTGGGTGATTAAAGATAAAATGCCCACCTCACTTTGCCTAATGTCAGGACAAAGATCCTGGCTAAGTTCCTTTTTAAAGCCATCAAAGCTCCCCACCGTTTTCATCAATAGTAAATTCCCTACATTAATTTTCTCCTGAACAAAACCACCAGGCGGCTGGTCCCCAATCAAAACAGGTTATTTTTCAGCCTCCGAAGGGAACAATTAAAGGAAAGAAAGAAACACAATAAATTCCTTGATTCTGGGACTTCATGGTTTTTTAAAAAAAAAATGGAGTAGGAAATAGAATGAGGTAATGAAAAGTAATTCCATGCTGCTGAAAGGTATAATATTAGCCATAATCCTGTTACATTTAAAATACTGTAGAAACAACCAGCTTTGGGGGCATAAAATGAAAGCGATATAAAACTTCTACTGCCTTCAGCATAATTTTTGCTTCTTGTTCATTGATCACAATTGTTTAAAACTTCCTGATCAATTGAAATGAATCAAATATTTGCTCTTTTGCTCTCATCGGTGGAAGGGTGAATGCCGTTTCTTTTTTCTTTTTAATCTTCTTTGTGCTACTAAAAGAAGATTAAAAATTTAGTTGATTGTAGGTATTCTGTAATGGCAGACTTTGTTGGTTTTGCTACACACTGCCTCCCCTTTAAAAATTCTGTAGTTACACAGTTAATTACAAAGCCTCAGATAAGTAATGGGTATATATAATGCAGAGGGTGGGAGCCCGCGTTAGGCGGCAAAAGATGAGAGGTGGCAGGACGTGCTAGAAGGGAGATTTGTGTGCTAAATGGCTCTCCTACCTTCCACTCCTCTCCACATTTAAGGAGTAACGAAGGACAGAAGATGCTCTCCCCTCACCAGCTTTGAAGAATGATTCCATTGCTCATTTATTTGGCTTTTGAGCGTGGAATGGAAGTTGGTGCCATCTTGTTCTTTGTCTCAGGCAGCAAAATGTCTGGGTCAGGTTCTGTCGAGAGAGGAAGTTGAGAACAATCTTGATCCGCAATGCCAGCCGCTGGGCAACAGAACTAAAAGGTTGACGTTGTTTTCATATCTCTGTGGCCATCGTGGAAACAGAAAGCTAGACTAGGTATGCTTTTGACAGGCCTTGGAAAGTTACTTTAAGAAAACATTTGCAATTACTTATAGTTCCAACCTTCCACCCAATCATTGTAGGAATTAATTTCAAGTAATTAGCCATTATGTTCAAGCCTTCCATCTGATCCAATATAGCTTTTCTAACATTATTCCTATGAAAAAGGTCCATTTGGATTTATCTTTAGCAATTCCTAACAGAAGCAAGGTGTTGATTGCTTTTAATGTGACCCTTCTCTGTCTTTTCTTTACAGAAGAAGTCCAAATTGCCATCCCCATCATGAAACCGACCCTCGAAAAGGTCCAACTGGCTGGACAGACTTTGCCCCCAGGTTTCCCTGCACCTTTCCTCTTTGCCGATGGATTGTCGTCAGTAGAAACTCTATTAACCAATATACAGGTAAAATACTTATGCGCCTGCCCCCAAACCCAAGAGATCTTATGAAGAAATATGCAAAAATATTGGGCAAATGTGCAAAAATGGAACAAATCAGGAGCATATACAGTGGGGTCTTGACTTAAGAACGGCTTGAGTTAAGAACATTTTGACTTAAGAACCGCTCTCATAGGAAAATATTGACTTGACTTACATACTTAGATTTGAGTTAAGAACTGAAAAAAACCCCACGTGGCAGGCAGGAAAAGTGCAAAATGTGAACTTTCAGTTAACTGTTGGCCAGGGAAAAGGGTGCCTGTCTGCTTCCTCACTCCTCCCAGCGTTTAGAGAGTGGATTGGGAGACAGTCTTCAGACTGCCTGGCACTTGCCTGGACTGTATTTTCCCTGACTTCCCTGAACCTTTCTTGACCTAAGAAAAAAAGAAACAAAATATCCCCCTCTAGTGGTTCAATGCGGAATAGCAGCTTCCCATTAGTTTCTATGGACGGAAAAGAGCAGATACGGATTAAATGGTTTTCAATGCATTCCTATGGGAAATGCAGATTTGACCTGAGAACTTTTTGACTTGAGAACCGCCTTCCAATGCGGATTAAGTTCTCAAGTCAAGACCCCACTGTATGTGCTTTCCAGGTTAACTATGGGGCAGAGCAAAGGGCCACTTTTCACCCCTGGGGCAGAGCATTAATTGGATTAAAAATGGTCAGCAATTTGAATTGAGGAAAGGGGAAACTGCTTCACTGTTTAAATAACTTTTTTGTGTTCTGTAATATTGCTTTTTTCCCCCCTGTTCTTTTCTTTGTTCTCTCACTTTGTTTACCAAACTTCCCTGAAAGACTACGTGATTTGGATTGCGTGTGTGTGCAATTATGGAAAGATGATTATTATGTGGGCTGAGGGTGGAGAGGTCACTCAACTATGGTGCTGTTTAGCCCTCCAGGTCATAGCCATTTGAACTCCTCCAGTCTTTGTGGGGACTTCATTTATCTGTGTATGTACTGGGAGGTCCAGAAATGCAAAATAATGTTCTGAACCTGCAAATGGAGCGGTTTGGAGTATCTCAGAAACTGTACAAATGGTGCCAGCCCTGATCTGGAGACCCTTCGTTCTGGTGAAGACTGAGTCGTGGGCTTCTGCCCACTCCAACACACACAAACACATACTCGGGAGCCCCAAGTGGTTCTCTTAACATCTGCATTACACATTCAAGAGATTGTGCAGATTGATACTGTTGTCTGTGTAAGTTCAATGAAATGGATATCGTAAGCTCCAGACAGGGCTTTACACTGATGTGGGCAGCTTGAATTTGAAGACCTTTTATGAACCAGATCAAGATCTGTAGTAAAGTGTTCCTATTCTGTAGACTAATAATAATTCCATGCTCCTACATCAGTTCTGACTTATGGTGAACCTTTCCAGAGAACCTTTCTAGGCATACTTGTTGCAATTGATACTGTTGTCTGTGTAGGTTCAATGACATGGATATCGTATTTCTCTTCTAAGCTCCAGACAGGGCTTTACACTGATGTGGGCAGCTTGAATTTGAAGACCTTTTATGAACCAGATCAAGATCTGTAGTAAAGTGTTCCTATTCTGTAGACTAATAATAATTCCATGCTCTTACATCAGTTCTGATTTATGGTGCACCTTTCCAGAGAACCTTCCTAGACATACTTGTTGCCTTCTTCTGGTGATACCCTAGGACTCTGCACCTTGCCCAAGGCTACACACGCTGTCTCTTCCTCCTGGAGACAGTGGGGAATCAAATTTCCAACCTCGGGCTCTATAGCCAGATAGCTAACTCACTGAGCTATCCAGACAGTGCAAGCTGTCCAGATGTGGTTAGACTGCCACTCCCATCAGCCGCCACCATTGTAACCAGTGGAGAAATGGCAGGCGACACAACATCCAGAGGGCTACATTTGGTTCACTTCTGGAGAAATAGTGCTGTGATACTAATGGGAGCAGGATACAAAGTGAATGAATGAATGAATGAATGAATGAATGAATGAATGAATGAATGAATGAATGAATGAATGAATGAATGAATGAATGAATGAATGAATGAATGAATGAATGTGGTCTCTTTATACCAGAGATGGGCGACAGAAGTCCTAGGGATGCTCTGCCTGCAGGCCTGTAGGATAAAAGGAGAAGGGCCTTTATGGTGCCTTTGCCACCGAATGATGGCTCAGAAATGGTAGGAAAACCAGCAGCTGCCTCAAGATTTTAGTAACGATGGTGCAAACCGTAGAAGATTCTGGAGGAGCCCAGTGTTGCCCCCCTTGCACAGCCTCAGAAGTTGCCAAGCCCCACTTTACACAATTCACCACCATCTTGCACATTAACACTTTTTCTTTTGTTTTTCAACAATAAGGTCAGCTAATGAATGCACCAAGTTCGCAAACAAAAAATAAATAAAACAACACCAATGGTTCCTTTGTCTGGATTTGTCTTCTCCAAGGTTTTCATCCTAGCTTATGTAAACTCCACGAATCTCAGTTATTCTAGCTCTCAGATCCGTTAAGCAGACGCTAATTTTCCCAACGGTGTTTTGTCTGCACCTGTTTTGTTTCCCCCCCCTCCTTCCCAGGGGTTGCTGAAAGTCGCTGTAGATAATGCCCGGGTCCAGGAAAAACAGATCCAGCAAGAGAAAAAGGAGTTGAAGATGGAACTGTGTAGGGAGAGAGAGCTGAGAGAAAGTCTGGAAAGGCAACTTACAGCTGAACTGCAAAGTAGAGGTAAGCCAGAAGAACGACAAACACACACACACAGAGAGAGAGAGCTACTAATTCACTCAGTCTTCCTTGGCCTCTCTGTTGTGGATGGCCACACTGAGGGAGGCCTCAAGTGGAACGCGGGGCCTTCTCAATGGTGGCCCCCGCACTCTAGAACACCCCTTCCACTAGAAGAGATTCAACAGGCCTCCTCACGCCGTGGTGGCCCCCACACTCTAGAACACCCATTAGAAGAGATTCAACAGGCCTCCTCACGCCAAGGTTTTAAAAGGCAGCTAAAATCTTTACTATTCAGGGAAGCCTTTATTCTCCCCCTCAGTTAGTGTGCCCTCTGACCCTGCGTCTCCTGAAGGCTGTCATCAGCACTTTATTCTGTTTGTTTTTCCTTTATGAGTTTGGGGTGTATTGTCTATTATTTTGGGGAATAGTGGGTGGGGGTGAGGGTTTCTATTGTTATTGCAATGGATGCCCAGAGTAATGGTCCCACTAATTTGGGCAGGATATGACAATAATTCATTAATTCATTTGTACTTGCACCCTGTGCTTGAAGCAAAATGTATTACTAATAGGTCACATCTTTCTGCTCAAACAGTTATCGTTTTCTGAAACGCCATGTAGTGATTAGAGGGTTGGCTCAGGGAGAGCCAGTTTCTCCTCCCGACGGAACCATGGAACTCACTGGGTGAACTGGGATCATTGGTGTGGCCCGTCTCGCACAACTGTTCTGAAGAAAAAGCAATTGTAAAAAGTGTATTGTGTTGCCTTTAATCATTGGAGGAAAGTCAGAATATAAATTTAATAAACAAATTTTAAAAAAGCTTTCTGATGAGCCATTTGATGGTGTGTGTGTTGTTGTTGTTGTTTTCAGAAGACAGTTCTGTATTTTAGGAGTGGACAATGTGTTGGGTTGTGATTGTATTTTTGGTTCAAGAACCCTGTTTGGTAGGAAAGCAATTGTTTTCTACAAAATCGCACAACTACGCAAATTGCCCCAAACAAGGCTGTGTGCTATTTTATTTCTATTTAAGAATTTAAAACAACATGTGGCTAGCTTTCATTGTTCTTAATAACCAGCCAAGACTTTTGGCTGGACCTGATGATCCATAGGGTCCCTTCCAGCCCTAAGATGATGATGATGATTCCGGAGGACACCTTGCCCAAGTGACTTGCTTCATCATCTAACTGTTGTTTGTTTTCCTGTCGTGCCACTAAAATTGGTGATAAAAAATTCAGGTGATTAAATTCTCTTTCGTGGTAAGACTCAGTATGAGAACTTTAAAACTCACATTTAAAAGTACAGACACATCCAGAACTCTGTATTTTGCAAAATATTTCCCATGATAGTGAAACTAAATATTCCCATTTTCAAATGGAAATAAATCTGAAGTTCAGAGAATTCTGCTTTTAGATTCTTCGCAGGTCCTTGCTCTTCTTGTTGTTGTTTCTGTTGCTGATTTTGTTGTTGTTGTTGTTGTTGTGATTAGCCCATTTGGGCATGGTTCTTCGAAAGGTAAGATGTATGTATTTGTAATGAAAAAATTACTACGTTTTTCACATTGGTAGTATAACTCATAGCCATACAATTGTTATCTAATTTCCATGGATGGAGGCATAGTGGAAGAGCGGACCTTAGTCTTCTGAACTAGAAGCCAACCTTGAACCTCAACTGAGAAATGTCCTATGCTTTAGAGTTGTAAGCATGTTCTCTGCTTTTCATTCCTCGCCTCTTTTCTTCTTCCAGCAACCATTCAGAAGCGATTGAAGAAAGAGAAGAAAGCCAAAAGGAAATTGCAAGAAGCTCTTGAGTTTGAATCAAAGAGGAGGGAACAAGTGGAGCAGGCACTTAAACAGGCTACTTCGGGCGATGGTCTCAGGATGCTCAACGGTAAGATGTGAGCAGGGATTTGCTCTTGCATTGAGGCACATATTCATTCCAGCATTCAGAGTGAATCCTGTGCAGTTACATGAACATTGTGTCTTGCAGATGCTGGGATACCAGACATGGAGGTGGAACACAATGGAACCCAACATGACAGCGCGGCAATGCAAGGTATGGCGAGGCTTTATGCAACGTGGCTGACGTTCTCCAGTGGCTATCTTAGAGATACATCAAAGCATCTGAGTCTCCTGAAGACAGAAAGGTTTCATTTCATGTACTGCAGCCTTCTTCGATTTTTTTGTGCTGACAAGTGGATGGGGTTGCAGGTACATTCCACTCTGGAATGACCATGTGCTGGATTCTGTTGTATTTTGCATTTGCATTTCTGTTGATTTTCAGAGTGGGCATTTCTCTCCCTTCCCCTGCAGGTGCATAAACACCTGCCCACTGAGGATACACTTGCCATGTAACCCTCTTTTGTCTCCTTCTCACAAAGAGGGATGAGAAATTGACACATTCCTCTCTTCGCCTACAAGGGCAAGTTGAGATTTCTGGCCACTCTTGAATTACCCTCCCAACGATGAAGCCTCTTTTTTTGGAGGGGACACTATAAATGTGTGCAAGTTCATTAACTTCATACAAAATGGTGAGGACTATGCCTTAGTTTTAAGGGCATATGGCAGACCTATCTCTGCTGAATCCTAGTCCTTTACTCCATCCACTCCATCACACAGGGTACCCCCCCCTTAGTTGCTAACTTGCTTTAAAAGAGAATTTGAAAAATCCAAGAAGATTAGGACCATCAGTAGCTAGTAGTCAGGAGGGGTATCCTTAATCGTCAGCATCAGAAGCACTCTGCCTTATAGTGGTTACTGGGAGAACATAGGATGGAGTCTACCCTTGCGTTCATGTCCTGCTTCTGTGTTTCCCTTTGCAATCATGGGCTGCCCCTTCTATGCCCAGGACGTTGGACTGGGCAGGCCTATGATGTGATCCAGCATGACACGTCTGGTCTTCTCATGTATATGGAATTGGCTTGGATGAAATCTTTTGCTGATGCACGCCACTTGCATGGTGTAAAACATGTGGGAGCTTGGGAGAAGCATGCTGTTAATGTTCCAACTCTATAATTTGTTTCATTCATTGATTGATTTATTCATTCATCCGTTCATTCCATTTTTATACCGCCCATCTAGTAAATTGCAACCCCGGGTGGTGTACAACAGAGGTAAAGACACAATTTATATAAAATACTGATGACAAGCTAACCCTAATACAGTGGTGCCTCGCTTAGCGATCGCTCCGTTGAGTGATGAAATCGCTTAGCGATGGGGTTTTGCCCATCGCCAGAGCGATCGCTTAGCGATGGCCCGTATGGGGAAAAATCACTTTGCGATGATCGCGGGGAAGCGATCGCCGCAAAGCCTCCAGTTTCGACCAGCTGATCGGCGGTTTCAAAATGGCTGCCGGAAAACAAAATGGCCGCCCGCTGTGTTGCCTTGCTTTAGAGGCACCGAAAATGGCCGCCGCAATGGAGGATCTTCGCATAAGGTTAGTTTTAAAGCCCATAGGAATGCATTAAACAAGTTTTAATACATTTCTATGGGCTTTTAAAAATTGCTTAGCGATTAAATCGCTTAGTGACGTTTTTTCCAGAACGGATTAACGTCGCTAAGCAAGGCACCACTGTATACTAGAAATAAACAGGGCAGGCAGCAAAAACATATTCATTGTCATATCATGTGTCTCTCCTTATTCCTTCTCTATTTCAGTCAATTTGGGTAAATCTTCCCAAAAAGCTTCTCCAAAAAGCCCAATTTTTAGCTGCTTTTTAAAGGCATGGAGCCTGGCGTAACTCCCGTGGCAGAGCATTCCACAGAGAAGATATTATCTTAGTTCAGCCAAAGTTGAGACACTGTGAAACTATGGAAAACCTGTGGGGTGGTGGGCTGGGGAGGAAGTGGCCCTCTTATCCCTACATCTACCTCCTGACTTCCTGTTCACCTACCAGGAACCTTTGTGGTGTCTTGGCAAGTCTTTGGGTTCAAGTCACAAGTCTGAGTCCCTAATAAAAACAACCTCCCCTCCCCCCAGAAAAAAGGGAGGGGTGGGTGGGTTCTGAATTGCAAGGAAAGTCTGAATCATTGGGGGGAAAGAGAACAAAAGCGCAAGTCAAGTTGCCAGTGCAGTTTAAGTCCGACTTGACTCAAGTGCCCATCCCAGGTATCTTCATCACTGAACTCAGCAGGCAGTGACACTGTCAGGTTGGAGAGGGGGTTTGTGTTTTGCTTAGAAGAAGTCACCGCATCAGCCTGTGCTAGCAGATCAGGACAGAAATAAAAGGGAAAAAAATGAAGACATAAAGATGACAAAATGGTTGCAGCCCCTTAAAGACTAACTGCTGGATCTTAACGTGAGCTTTCATGGAGAAATCCACTTTTTCAGGCTCAACTTTTGTTGTAACTCCGGTAACACACAAGAATAGCACATCAACCAGGTTTTTTATCCACCCATCTCCGTTCCCCATAAAATAAACATACTGGGTGTCATTAAGTGCACCTTCAGATCAATGATTTTTGCAAATGACATTCAAGTACCGTTCGAGTGGCGCATTTTTTTGCTGATAAAAGCAAATTAAATTAACACAACTACAAGTGGTGCTGATAAAAAAAAAGAAGCCAACGCCAAACAGCAGCACCATTAGCTAACAAAGTAATATTTTCTCTTTACTGCTTTCTGCCATTTAGTTATTATCCTATTGGAAATCTAATTATAATCCTTTTACTCCCCAGTCAAACTTCACAGTTTTTGCAAGCTTAGCACTGACATGTGATTTCATTACATTTGATTGCTCGCGCCCAGATTGACTTCTCTTCACTTGGAGACCTAAAAGCCCTCTCACTTTCTCAGATTCCCTGTTTGCGCATTACTGCAACAGCTCCTTTAATTAATTAGCATGAACAGCAGTAACATGAACTGCTGAACAGAAAATAACATCATTTTACGATCGCAGGGAGACTTCTCCCTTTGCATGTTTATACCTTAGTTAACTTCTGTGTATTATTATATTTCATTTGATAAGAGCCTGCAGGTGCCAAGACAAAGGACAATCATAACCAATGCAATTGTTTCATTTTGATTTCCTTTTCTTCTCTCTCTCGCTCCCCCCCCCCGGAAACAAGATATCAAAAGGAATTGCTTTAATAATGTAGATATACATTGTGGGAAAAGTGAGGACCTTCATGTTTAAGGGGGAAAGGCAACTGGGAGACTGATCTGGATCAAGTCAGAGTGATGCTTGTCCATGCAAGTAGTTTGATATGTTTGTTTTTAATTGTTATATTAAAGTTTTTTGACCTTCTCTCAAGCCCCCAAATGGCTCCCGATACAACTAATTCCATTGCTAATGAGCAAATTAGCAAATTGCAGTGTTACTTCTTAGTTGCAAAATAAGAGTGTAGGTATATTACAAAACTTATAGTAGTTTCATGCGACTTTCTCTGCTCTGATTCCACCCACCTGGGATTCGTAGCTGGTTGCTGTGCTTAGAATTTGTGACTGTCCTTTAGGGACGTGCACAAGAAATCTCAGGCCGAGTATTCTGAGTGCCTTACAGATCCCAGGATTCTGTTGTATTTGATTACTAACAGGGAAAGTGGTATCAAACAGCTGTAACTGCATGGTGCCGACACACCTCAAGACCGGTATTTTGTTCAATTCACCCTGTGCATCCCAGCAAATGTGGAGCGAGTTGCAGCAAGCTGGAATGGTCTAGATTTCTGCCTGGTCACACAAGCAGCCTTGTAATCAGATAGGCTGTTGGGCCCCTTCTGCATTGCTGCATCCGCTCTTGTTTTCATGGTTATGCCGATGATAGGTTGAGCAGAATGTTGGTCTGGTTGTATTGCAAAATTTGGTTTAAAAAGCTCATTGGCGGCTCGCAAAGCAGCTTTCCTATGGCCAATCTTCGCCAGACAACGACGTTTCAATGCATTCCAATGGAGAAATGTTTTTCGCTAGACAATGATTTCACTTAACCACAATTCCAGTGGAACGGATTATCATCGTCTAGCGAGGCACCATTGTACACAGATACAATGGACTGCATGATGTTGTCATGAAGCCAAATCAGAATTTGGGCAACCGTTTCTGTACTAATAAGTAAATCAGAGGCGGCAGTATTTTAGCCGTCTAATTTGCCTGAACTACCGTTCCCACAATTCTTTATCATCAGGGTAGGATAGTGGGAACGGCACACTAAAATATCTGAGGGCTACCAGACTGTCCACAGCCTTGATTTACCCATTAATAGCTGTGTGTTAAAACATCACACACATCCTGGTGTGCTAATTTCTGCATGTGGTAGCATGTGCAGTGGCTTCCTCGTAATAGGAAGACCCTCGTCATGCTTCCCTGGGCATATGCTGAGGATTAAAGTTCCTCGCCACAAAAATGATTGTTTCTCCTTTTCTTCCATGGTACCAAATGCAGAACAGAGGGAGATGCCTCTGCTGTGTAATAACTACTCTGTTAGGAAAGAAAATACCATCCAAAAGGGAAATTACCATCATTAACATAGGATTTGGCTCACTGGCAAAAATGGTGAGATCTTTATTCATGTTACACAGTGTACTGAGCTTGAAAACCCCTTTCTAAATGTCTTGCTTATTAAGGCATTCATGCATTTCACGGTAGGTTGTAAAACAGCCTATCATGCACAGGGGGCTCATAAGCATATTTTAGTGTTAGGGAATATCATTTATACCCTTTTTATATTGTCAATATTATCCCTGGAGAATTAAATTATGCTTCAAACTACTGTAAATCCACCCGTTTGGTTCACCTTTGTCTAATTTCATTTTTTAATAGAATGAAGCTCACATAAATGAATATTTGATTATGGGATAAACCTAATAAAAGGATACGTTTATGGCCCAAAGATTTATTTAAAAATCTTGACTATGTAATACAGTAAAAACGCTATAAAATGGAAACATCAATAGACATGGAATGGCCCGGGCGGGATGAATGTTTGACCCAAGCCTCTTCATTTCCTTAACTGGCTTGCACAAAAATTACCGGGGGTAGGAGATTGTGGTAGATTTGGAAGAGATTAAATTAGTATGACAGCATAAGATCATCGTTTTTCACAGGCATCTTATCATCTAATG